AAAATATTCGTATTTGAATTTAAAAAAAATGCGGCTTTATTTCAACTCAACTTCGTCAAATAACCACTAAATTTTAGAGGTGAAAAAATCATGGCATCTCATTGCAGGTTTGTGTCGAGCACTAATCAATCTTAACCCAACTTATTTAACTAATCGTGTCGTATCGATGAACCTGTTTATTTTCATGTTGGGTTCATGTTCATATTTTTGTTGACCCATATAAATCTCGAATGAACAACTTAATGCTAAGATTTAAGTCTAAGATTCAATTATCAATTAATTGAATCTATGTTCATACTTTTTTTTATAAATTAATAATTAATTTAATAAACATAACAATAATAATGAGTAAAAATGTCTCTTTTGTACAATAACTATGTCAATACTTAATAAACAATAACAAATAATTAGTATTGTATTTCCCTATTATTAGTTAAACGTGTTAATCGTGTCAATTTCACTTAATGTTCGACTAATCAAACTTTAATTCAGACCAAATCTGAATTAAAATCCACTCCATCATGATTAAAAAAAAATTCGAATTTCTGAAAAGTAAAATAACTAGTCGGTCGAGTTTATACAGATCAAATGATTTATTCCACAACTGACTAAAAGAAATGAACCATAAATTGAGAACTCCTACTTTTCTTCATGCCAAACTCTGTCTAGAAAAAATGGCATCTCGAACATTTACCCGAACATGCGGGACATGATTTATGACTATTAATCAATGTATGGGTCGAAGTCAAGTGACACGTTTGCCTTTCATAGGAAATAACTATCAAATTTAAACCAAATTTCTTTCTTCATTGTTAGGTAGTATTCAATCATTTGTCAATTATTTTACCGACAAGTCTATCTTATTTGTGAGGTAAAGAAGAAAGAAACCATGATATATAGATAGTGAGATTTTATTCTAAATCGCTTCATTGTTACGTAACATTCCATTATTTGTCATTATATTACGTAAACGATAAATCTATTTTATTTGTGAGGTGAAGAAGAAAGAAACCATAACATCTAGATAGTGAGATTTTATTCTAAATCGTTTGCGGTGACTATCAGTGTCGGCCCAAACCTATAGGCGACTTAAGCCATTGTCTAGGGCTCCCAAATTAGAAGAAGAAAAATTTAGAGCCTCAAAATAAAATTTTATATTATGGTACAATCTAGATATTGTGATATAATTTAAATATTCAATAGATTTTAACAATTGAATTAGTAGGGAGTGAAAACTTTAAACAAAATATATTATTTATCTAATGTATTTAGTTCTCAAATTAAGTACAAACAGCATCATTGTAAAAATTTTAGGACCATTTTCAAAAAAAAAAAAATTAGGATCTTATAGTTCAACCTAATTTTTTTATTGCACTCGATGTTTATATTATATGTATTATCACTTTATAATTTTATTATTAAAATCAATTGACTAGCGTATAATAGTGAGATTTAATTCTACGTCGTGTTCTACGACTGTAAAAATGGTCACATACCACCATGATGGTGCTACGTGGTTGAAGACGTGGTTCACTTAAACTTTGTTCTTGACTTTTTCTTATTTTTGCAGTCCATGTGAGTTTAATTTATGATGATCTTCAACATTAGACAAGAGATATTGACACGAATGGACGGTCTAGATTTATGCCCGTTTCGTTAAATTCCCAAATCGCACTTGGACAATTAGTCAAGTCTCAATGTATGTGGAAACGGCCAAGGGTTCATTTTCACTGGCTCCTCTATGGAGCCTGAGATTTTTTTCTGTTTATATTTGGCATTATAAGTATAGGGTCACAGTAGTAATTCTTTTTTTTTTTTTGCTTTTGTTATTATCTGAAAAAATGTCATTCGAATGATTTTCATATTGAAATGGCTTAATCTCCCTTCTGATTTTTTTTTCCTCCCCACATGAGCTAGCTCTTTTATGTAAATAACATGTATGGAGGACATAACAATCAAGGTAATGACGGGACTTCTAAGACTCATTTAATTGATACGTTGCACTACTTTGTGTGACATTTTTTATTTTTTTAAGAGATTCGATTGTCGATTATGGGACTAGCCTATTCACATATAGAAGAAAGGATCATACCCTTTGAATGACTGGGTATGAAATTCTTATAATTAGCAAGGGTTCCATTCAAGAGGTGATATCATTGCCTGCTGTCAAAAAATTCAAAATGAATACATGAATAGATTGGCCTAACTAAAACTCCTCCTAATGGACACATTTCACTCCTTGACTCATGTCTTCTAGTGCATGAAGAAAAGTCCAACAAAACCTCTAATTTTCCTTTGAAAAACTTATGGTGGAAATGACCACGTAAATGCCACATAAAGACCTCCACTCCTCTATATAAACTCCCCCAGCCCTTTGGCTCACATACACAAAACCATCATACTTGCACATAACCAAACCTTCATCCACTTTATACCAACTACCACTATGAGCTTAACTAAAACAATGTATGTGTTTTTTTCCCTTCTCTTTACCCTGTACTTCACTTCCACCTTCACCAATGCAGCAACATTTGATATCACAAACCGATGTCCCTACACCGTCTGGGCGGCTGCCTCCCCCGGTGGAGGCAGGCGACTTGACCAAGGCCAGACCTGGAACATCAATGTGAACCCTGGCACGACCCAGGCTCGTATTTGGGGCCGAACCAATTGCAACTTTGATGCTAATGGCCAAGGCAAATGCGATACCGGTGACTGTGGTCGCCTTGAATGCCAAGGCTATGGCTCACCCCCAAACACCTTAGCTGAATTTGCCTTAAACCAACCTAACAACTTGGACTTTGTCGACATTTCTCTTGTTGATGGTTTCAATATTCCGATGGAGTTCAGCCCCACCACCAATGTGTGCCGTAACCTCAGATGCACCGCTCCGATCAACGACCAGTGTCCGGCTGAATTACGGGCTCCCGGTGGCTGCAACAATCCATGCACAGTGTTCAAAACCAATCAATATTGTTGCACTGATGGGCCTGGGAGCTGTGGGCCTACTGATTTCTCCAAGTTCTTCAAGGAGAGGTGCCCGGATGCTTATAGCTACCCTCAGGATGATCCAACAAGCTTGTTCACTTGCCCTGCTGGTACCAACTACAGGGTTGTGTTCTGCCCATGAAGCTCTTTTCTTTCATGGCTATATGAGATATTCTCAACGAGCTCTTTGTGAATATTCACAAAGGCAGTCTAATAAACTGATGCACATGTAGTGATGTGCACATGATCTGCTGCTATACATGCAGTTATTTAGTTTTGTTATATGGTTTACAAGGAAATAAAGAATGAGAAATTAAACCTATTAGATAGATATATCGAAAGTGATGCTTTGATCATATTGCCATGGGTTTCTTTTATTTTGGTTCACATGTTATGCTGGATGATGATGGTAATTTTTAATAGGATCGTACTCAAACATGACATGTAAGAATAAAATTAAGTTTTTAAAACTTTTATTGAATTTTCATTTTAATTTGTGAATTTCAGTTACAAATTTTTTTGCCTTATTTAATGTGTATATTCAAGAATAATAATTTTTGACCTTAAAATTGGTTTTAAGACTATTCAAGGCTTAACAATAAAAATCATTGAAAAGTCAACATGTACAAACCATTGAAAAGTCATCATGTGCCAAACAGATGAAAAAAAAAATTGAATAGTATCATGTGTACGATACATACACAATGGCTATATAAGGGGTTGTTGAGATAGGTTTTGGCAGTAACGAAAATCCACTCAAAAATCTTTCAATAGCTTATTATACTTGACATACTTTTTAATTATCATCTATTATTTTATTTTGGGACAATTTGATTTGAGTCAGGTTCACTTCAACCTTCTAGTAGACGTGACCATTGAGAAGGTGTTGCTGCGAGCGTTTACGTTGGATTTTGGAATCGCTGGTGTCTGTCAGTACTCTCACGTGGGGAGGCTCAGCTGCATTAGGATAATGATCACATACATCTCGGACTTGCAAGTCTGCTCTTTCGAAATTAATTTATTTAGTTTATATGGATTACATGTTTATACATTTTTTGTATTTATTTATATTGCATGTTATATTTTTAATGATCTAACTACTGTTTGCATGCTTTATTTCGAATTTTAAATTATAACACTCATAATTATTTTGCTCACATCATAATTATAATAATTGTTGATTTGGCCAAAAATTCAGTAGTAATTTTTCTTAATTTCAATTATAAATCTATAATTAGTTTTACATGAGATAGACTTAAAAGTGACGTGACCTATTAATTAATACAAACAATTAAGAGATTGTGTTAACATCAAAGACAAATAACCCAATATTGACGTGACAAACTCGTTTAATTGATATTGTCTAAAAAACTATTTCAATTTTTTATCTGTTAATAAATATCACAATTGGTGGGTCAAGCAAAAACGAAATATTTCAGACTATAAAAATTAAGTAAACATTAAGGTCTTTTAAGAAGAAAAAAAATTGTGTCAACTGTATCCACCGCCACAAAAAAAAAAAAAAAAAAAAAAATTGTGACAGTAATACCATCACAAAAAAAATTATTTTCTACAGCAAATATTATTTAAGAGGATTTGTTGCCGACATAAAAATTTTGATACTCCAATTGTTATAATGAAAAATAACCCTTTTATGACAATAGTCCAAAAAAAAAAAAAATCTTTAAAAACACGTTTTTTTTTTTTAATGACGGTGAACAAACTTATCACAAAAAATGTCTTAAAAATCCCTAATTCTTGTAGTGTTAGAAATCTCTTTTATCTTTTAATTTTTCCACGATTGGCTTCAACCTGGTGGCATCTCAAGATATCGATTACCACATTAAAGGATGTAGGAAAAAGCACAGATTCGAAAGAAAATATTTAACAGGTGCCAAAACATTATCCAGGGTTTATAGCTAGCAAGCTGTATGTTCTCTGCAAAAAATTATCCATCTTTCAGCTTCATAAGCTAGCGCACCTAGAGGGCAAAATTTGCCAACCTCTTATTTTCACCCTTGTCTGATGTTGCTGGTCCCCGGGTCCAAGCTAGGTTGCTGAGGACGAAGCCAGCTGCAGCCGGGTATGTTGGCATTTCCCTGGGGCACGAATGCAGGATTCAGCGGGGGCACACGTTTCTCGGGTGAATCAACCTGAGCTGGAACATCATTTTGGAAAAAGCTGGGCATGCCAGACTCGGGCAGTCCAAAACAACCCTCTTCTTGGATAGAAGAAGGGTCAGGTTGTTGCTGGAGATGCCCCTGAATTGGATTATCTTCAACTGGTATTGCCCCTGTAAGAGTCTTGAATGCAAAGTCTAGACATGGATCTGACCAAGAGTCTCCCAATGAATATAAGCCTCGAGAATCTTGGGATTCTGGCTTCCCCTCATCTTGTTTCTCAGTTGTCTGCATTCCTAGTGACACTTGCGATATATCCACAGGCCTTTTGTTTTCGATCGATGGTTCTATATCCAACACAGCTTCTTTGTCTATGGAAGCATGACCTTTTGTGGTCTCTGCTTCTAGCTCTGTCACAAGCTCGGGCACTCTATTAGCTGCACCATCCAGGACCAAAGTGGGAGATGGATTGGCTTCTATTTCAGTGGACTTCCTGGCTGCAGCCAGAGCACTTTCACTTGATTCCAATTTGTCCTGAATCTCAGGTTTAATCCCAGCAAGCCTTTTTGAAGTTCGCCTAAGCCCTCTTTCCATGGAATTCCTCGAGCCAATCCACGTCTTTTTCTTGCTATTCTCTTCCATCACATTCTGGGGCAATGTCTCCTCTGGAAAAATATCAGTTGCAGGAGTAGAAGCAGACCCGTTTTCAGACACTGTCAAACCATGTTTTCTCTTAAAACCATTGGTTCGCCTTTCCTTTGAGCTCTTGGCTTCGAATGCTGCTAAGCCACTACTACCGCTTCTTTCTTTACCTGCAACATTAAGTCCTATGTCGTAAGTAAGGGAATAATAATCACTCAAATAGCAGTACAAGTTGTTTTAACACATAATAGCATTGATAGTAAGTGAAGATATGTGTATCATATTTTGATTTCTCACCTTCAAATAGTCGTCTTTTGGAAGTAGAATGCTTCCTTTTCTTCCCTCCAACTGCGGATGGAGCCTATTGAGAGACAAAAGGCAAGGAGAGAGTTCCCAACAATTAGAACTTCCATTCAGCAAAATGTTCCAATAGCAGGGCGGTACTTGAAAAGTAATCAACACTGAAATTGAAGGACAGCAACAATCATATGATCATAATTGCCATAAGAGGTGTTAACAGGCATATTGTTTGCAAAAACTCATGACAAAGTCAGAGGATTTGGACTAAGGTGTGCTCCAAGCAGAGGCCAAAAAAGTATCAGGTATCAGTGGAACAAAGACAAAAAAAAAAACAACCTTTTATATTTTTCCTCTTTTACTCTGTTAGCCATGAATCAACTTTGTACTTGACCTCTAAGAATTCTGAAGAATGAACTTAAGGCCACAGAGCGACTCAGCAAAAATGTATTGAAAAAACAGAGATAAAAAGTTCTGAGCAGGATCAGTGAAGCAAATAATGATCACACAGCACAATCTGTAAACCTTGACCGCCAGTAGCTTTGGCACCGCTTTTAACCAATAAAGTTGCAAGTATAAGAAGGATGCGCGTGCTGCCTAATACAAGTTACCAAGTACCTTGGCACATCTGAGTTATATTGCAACGTTCAAGTCTGCAATAATTAGTAGATTACAAATAATTGGATAACGGCCATGTCTGATGAGAAATATCATCTACTGAATTTCAACATGATAACTGGAATTCTAAGTCGTCCTTGCGTATTGTGCATTTGTAGGCTTCTGCGAATTCGCATGTGTGCAGGTGAAAGTTCCTTTTGTTTGCCTGAATGCATGCACATTCACTATGTATGCCAATACCGGAATATCTAAAGTGCCCGTACCGTTGTACATGCATGTGTGGATAATAAACTAAACATGTCATACTCCTAACTTTAGCTTTGCTTCAAATTAAGTTTTTTAATGCAATCATGCGTTACCCCTGTAGCATATAGAGATGTCTATACATTTGCCCAAGATAAGATCAACTAGTACTCATATGAATGTCTTACAAAAACGTGCTCCTACTCCAGTGACCACTTGTGCTTACAACTACACAAGGGACACGTGAAACTGAAAAATTCAGAAGTGGATACAGAATAGAATCAATAACAATTGCAGCAACAATGAAGCGCCAAGTACTTTGATTACCAACCAAGGCACACTTACACAGATGTCCTCATGTTTAAGCACCATATCGTTGACGTCCATTCTCTTTGGTTTCATTTTACATGTAGCAATACCACCAGTTTTCAGATATCGCAAAGCATCCAATGTGGAGCGGAACATGTATCCACTTTCAGGATCAATGTAATACTGTAGAGATCAGGTCTTTATCAAAAATCATTTCCAAGTACAGCAGTAGAATTAATTTAGTTGAAAATGCAGCTAGAGACGGCATGGAAGATGTATTATGTTCTTTTTCCAAGTAGTTAACATGCACATTTGCGCAATTATGCAAGCGATTCTGTGTTTTGCTCTTTTTTAGTGGGTCACGGGGGTGACCAATAAAAAATTCCAATCATTATGGATCAGAGGTTGGATTCAGTACCGGATCTTTTTTTGTACCACTCGCGTATTTTCTTTTCCTTATCTCTTTAATCCATCCTGGTGGTAGCCCTTCCAGAGAGAGTGTCTTGTCCACAACCTAGATAGGATTTAGGACAGCAAAAATCAGAGCTATATTTTGTGCTTAAAAATATAATAATCACATGAATTAACCAGATTCATGAAACAAAATTGTTCATAGAATGCTTTATAACGCTAATATTATTGTGTTTGGATGGGGAACTCTAGCTTCTTACATCTTTGCTAATTTGAGAAACATCTGGCTTCAAAGAGGACTCCTCTCCAGTTGAACCACCAAGGTCATGCTGAAAGAAAAGTACACTTAAAATAAGTCTAGAGCGTAAAAGCAAATATAAGTTCCCAGATACATTGAGCATACTTTCTAACATGCCCTGCTATAATACATATATTTTTCTCACGATTCTTTATTACACTAAATATTGAAAAAGCGTAAACATCACAAAGGCCAAAACAGTAAGTTGCTTTTTCATCTTTTTCAGTAACAGACAGATAAGTGACAGAGACCTCTTAAAAGTCCAAAACATAGATAAGATTGTGTCAATGGTTCTTTCCATCTAAACTTCAACCTATTCAGACACATTGCTCCAATAACATAAACTATAATAGTTTGAACCTTTTGTAAGGATTAAGATAAACCTGATTCAGTATTATGACCTGGCTAGTTAAGATCATATATTTGGTAGGTTATACAAATAAGTTGCCATAAGATGAACATACAGCTGAATGTCAACTAGTTACGTCTTGTGTATATTCTAGAAGACACCTAAAAAGAAGATTTGATTAGCAAGTTCATTATGGAACAAACATTGATAATACAGCCAATGTCCTCCTTGGCTTTGCCACTGTTGCACTTAAAACCTTTGAGATATCGAGACAGCGCTGGCTTTGAATAACACTTGTACCCAGTTGCTGGATCAATGTAACACTGCAGCCATAAGAAAAATGAAGGTGATGGAAGAGGACATCACAAAAAATTAATAATACTGCTGCAAAAACAATTACATGAAACAACATAAATGATAATTATAGTCCAAGTAATTCCTTAAACATACAATCGATTTTCAAAATTTTGCTTCCATCAATGGCAAAAATGTATTCCCAGAAAAAATTAACTTTATTGCCAAGCAAATAAGATTACAGGTTAGTGGTATACAATGATATTCAGAGAGCAAAAAATACCATGCCAAATGAGAGAAACTGAAGCACAAAAAAGAAAAATGGCAAATATACTAAAAACAAAACTCGAATTTCCCAATCAAACACTGAATGCTACATAAGCCTTAGCTGATATCAATTTCCCTTACCTATAATTTCAATTTTCACATTCAAATGCCAGTGTAATAGCCACTCCATGAATTGGATAAATCTCTTCGTCAAAACATGGCATCATTATACTCCTCCATAAGGCTACCTTTTAGCCAAGACTTTAAATTTTTGAAAATTGAAGATTGAACTCATGAATCAGTTATTCAGTCCAAACCAGCTAACTACTTAGACGGTGTAACTTTAGTATTTGTACTTCAACACACCCCTCACGTGCAGACTAAATTTTAGGTCTAGCATGTGGAAATCTTTTAATAAGGATGGCGGCAAGAAACATGCCGAAAGTAGGGAGAAGGAAGATGATATATTTTTTTCTCTAATTCACCAATTTATTTATTCAGGAAAAATTGAAAACAAAACTACCAACATCCTTTTATAAAGTCCTGGTCTTTAGTGTAGGAATATTGCATCCCAACTTCCATTGCATGTGCTCCAAATCACTTCACCTTTTCAGATGAACACAAGACGCACAGCAGTAACTATCAAAGAAGATTGCCAAATTTTTGGTGTGAGATACCTTGTATTGTGAACCACTCTTCTTAGTTTTCACCTCCATAATCCATCCACGAGGCAACCACTCAGGAGATTCATCTATTTTCACTGCAGACTGCAAATAATAACTCCTTGTCAAGTGAACAATCTACAGTGACCAACCGTATTGAAGGGTTAGAAACATAAGAAAGTGAACATAGCCAATGCAATAAAGGGTGTTCAAATTTCAAATTCAATGGCATATTTCGTGTTTGAGCACCTATGTTTCATGTAGACCTCTTCAAAGTTGGAATCTTATATATGATTGTAATAAGGTTTCTTTTTATTTGAACCTGAAATTTTCCTAACAGGTAGAATAATATAAGCTATAACAGTTGGACTTCTTTAGGGATTTAGCCTTATAGATTAAACTTGATCAAAACACATGAGCTAGCTAGTTAGGATAGATTATTTGGTAAACAAATAAAACTATTTTCAGCTTGTTTGTGTTGTGGAAGGCAACTGAAAACAAAAATGTGAATGGTTAATTAAGGAACAAACATTGCTAATAGAGCCAATGTCTATTTCCTTCTCTTTGGCTGTTCCACTGTCGCACTGTACAGTTTCGCGATACTTAGACAGTTCTGCCTTCGAGTAAAATTTGCTTCCAGTTGCTGGATCAATGTAGCACTGCAACATACCAAAAAATAAATGAGATACAAAACAGTATCACCAGAAAAATTATAATACTGCCCAAAGATAGTTCTATAAAAAGAAAAGCTTCAATGATAATCTTTCTAAAGTTGAAGATGTTATACGGTATAATTAATTGTCTACACACAACAATTCAAGTTGAGAGAATAAAGTGCCATACCAAAAGAGAAAAGCACAAAGAGACATGACAAATGGAATACTAAGTAGTCCTTGTGTATTGTACATTTATAGGCGTCTCCGTATTCACGTGTGTAGCCTCAAGTTCCTTTGAGTTTGCCTGAGTGCATGTACATCCACCAAGTATGACAATACTGGAAGCCCTAAGGTGATGTACTGTTGTACATGCAAGTGTTAAAAAGAAACTAAACATGTCATCCTTCTAACTTTAGCTTTGCCTTAGATTAAGTTTTTTAATGCAACCATGCATTACTCATGCAGCATACAGATGTCTTTACAACATTTGTCCAAGATAAGATCAACTAGTACTCATATGAACGTCTTAAAGAAAGCTACTCCTACTCCACCAGTGACCACCTGTTCTTTCAACTACACAATGGGATGTGTGAAACTGGAAATTTGGAAACAGGATGGATAAAGAATAGAATTGATAACAACTGCAGCAACAATAAACCACCAAGTAATTTGATAATAAACCAAGGCATACTTACCCAGATGTCATCATTTTTCGGTGCCACCATATCGTTGTTGTCCCTTTTCTGTGGCTTGATTTTGCATGTAGCAATATCACCAGTGTCCAGATATCGCTTAGCATCCAATGTGGAACGGAACATGTATCCACTTTCAGGATCAAAGTAATACTGTAGAGATTTGGTCTTTATCAAAAACTCCTTTCAAAGTACAGAAATAAAATTCATTTAGTGAAAATGCAACTACAGACCGCATGGAAGATGCATTACATTCTTTTTCCAAGTAATTCAATTGCACATTTGTGCAACTGTGCGTGGCAGTCTGGGTTTTTGCTCTCTTTCTTCCTTTTTTTTTTTTTTGTGGGGAGCACAATAATATATTACAATAATTATGGATCAGAGCTTCGATTCAGTACCGGGTCTTTCTTTATACCATTCCCATATTTTCTAGTCCTTATTGCTTTAATCCATCCTGGTGGAAGCCCTTCCAAAGAGAGAATCTCATCCACAACCTAGATAGTACATCAAAAATCAGAGCTATATTTTGTGCTTAAAAATATAATACTTGAGTGCAAGAAATAGCCAGGTTCATGCAACAAAATTGTTAATAGAATGCTTGCTAATGCCAATTTTATTGTGTTTGGATGTGGAACTCTAGCTTCTTACATTTTTGCTATTTTGAGAAACATCTGGCTTCAAAGAGGATTCCTCCCCAGTTGAACCACCAAGGTCATGCTGAAAGAAAAGCACACTTAAAAATAAATCTAGATTGTAAACTGCAATTATAAGGTTCCACCTACAGTGAGCATACAACGCCAAGCGGCTCTCCCCTGCTACAAACATGATTGATAATACACATATTTTTCTCACGATGCTTTATTACACTAAATACTGAAAAAGTGTTAACATCATAAAGACCAAAACAGCAAGTTCCTTTTTAATCTTTTTTAGTAGCAGGCAGATAAGTTTCACGGAGACCACTTCAAAGTCCACAACTATACATAAGATTGTGTCAATGGCTCTTTCTCTAAAATTAAAACTATTCAAACACGTTGCTCCAATAACATAGCTACAACAGTTTTGGACTTTTGTAAGGATTAAGATTAAACCTGACTAAGTAATATGACCTTGCTAGTTAAGATCATATATTTGGTAGGTTACACAAATAAGCTGCCATAAGATCAACATAAGGTTGAAGTCAACTAGCTACATCTTGTGTATATTCGAGAAGACATCTAGAAAGAAGATTTGATTAGCAAGTTGATTATGGAACAAACGTTGCTAATAGAGCCAATGTCCTCCTTGGTTTTGCCGCTGTTGCACTTGACACCTTTGAGATATCGAGACAGCTCTGGCTTTGAATAACACTTGTGACCAGTTGCTGGGTCAATATAGCACTGCAGCCATAAGAAAATGAATGAGAAGAAAGAGGGTACAACAGAAAACCAACAATAACGCCGGAAAAACAATTACAAAAATAAACATAAATAATAATTACAATCCAATTAATTCCTTAAACATGACAATCCAATGTCAAAATTTTGGTTCCATCATTGCCAAAATGTATTCCCAAAAAAGATACTTTATTGCCAAGCAAATAAAATTACAGGTTAGAAGCATACAATGATAATCAGAGTGCACATAATGACATGCCAAAAGAGAGAAACTGAATAACTAAACAAGAAAATGTGGAATATGCTACAAACCAATTTGAATTTCCCCATCAAACACTGAATGCTATATAGAACTTAGCTGATATCAGTTCCCCTAACCTATAATTTCAATTTTTCACATTCAGATTCCAGTGTAATAGCCACTCCATGAATTGGATAAATCTCTTCATCTAAACATGGGATCATTATACTCCTCCATTATTTTTTCTGTCTGCAGCCATAGGCCATACAATATACCCGGTATACACTTTCAAAAAGGCTTACAGAGGCTATCTTTAAGCCAAGACCTAAATATTCAACTCATGGAGCCACTTACTAAGTCCAAACCAGATCAATATTTTGCCCTTATGAAACACTCACAAAGTCACACCTGATGCAATTAAATATTTAAGAGATGAAAACAAGAAACATGCCGAAAGTGGGGAGAAGGAAGAGGAATTTTTTTTTCCAATTCCCAATTAATTTATTCTGCAAATATTGGACACAACTATCAACATCATTTTAAAAATACTGGTCCTTAGTGTAGGAATATTGCAAGCCCAACTTCCATTGCATGTGCTCCAAATCACTTCACTTTTTCAGATAAACACAAGATGAGCAACAGTAACTATCCAAGAAGATTGCCAGATTTTTGGTGTGAGATACCTTGTATTGTGAACCATTCTTTTTAGTTTTCACTTCCATAATCCATCCATGAGGTAACCACTCAGGAGATTCATCTATTTTCACTGCAGACTGCAAATAATAACTCCTTGTCAGATGACCAATTTACAGTGACCAACAGTGGCAGAACCACCATTGGCTTATGTGCCCACCCTCAAAAAAATTCTTAACATTAACCATGTATGTTTTAAATATTTTTTAAACATATTTAACTGGGCCAACCTATTTTTTTCTTATGATGTCCATTAGAATAGACTCATAACTAAATAACTATTAACTTTTGGACATGCTTCGGAGAGGTTCGAATTGACGTTGTTACTCAAAAAAAAATTAAGACTAAAAAACACATGGTGTATCCATTGGGTTACCTATTGTAACTTTGAAATTGATTATATCGATTGTAATTTTTATTGTAGAGAGATTTTTTAAATATAGAAATTATAAAACTCGCTTGCATAACCAAATGAGTTATAGAATAATATATATATATATATAAAAAGACATTCTTGATGGTATTTGTAATGAAGTGCATCTCTTTCAAATGATAAAAAATCATTGGAATCAATAGAAACTGACTGTTATTAATCTTTTTTTTATATAGAATGTTAAAATTAATCTTTTTTATTTTGTTTTGTTTGTATGCTTTATGTATACCAGTTTTTGGCCCTATTATGTTGAATGATTTTATTGTGACAAAAATAATTTCAATAAATATAAATATTTCATCCTACTAAGTAAAAAAAACCAAGTTTGTTGAAGTGCCCCCCCAAGACTAATTTCCTGGCTCTGCCCGTGCTGACACATAAGAAAGTAAAATAGCCCCCCCCCCCCCCCCCCCCCCCCCCCCCCCCCCCCCCCCCCCCCCCCCCCCCCCCCCCCCCCCCCCCCCCCCCCCCCCCCCCCCCCCCCCCCCCCCCCCCCCCCCCCCCCCCCCCCCCCCCCCCCCCCCCCCCCCCCCCCCCCCCCCCCCCCCCCCCCCCCCCCCCCCCCCCCCCCCCCCCCCCCCCCCCCCCCCCCCCCCCCCCCCCCCCCCCCCCCCCCCCCCCCCCCCCCCCCCCCCCCCCCCCCCCCCCCCCCCCCCCCCCCCCCCCCCCCCCCCCCCCCCCCCCCCCCCCCCCCCCCCCCCCCCCCCCCCCCCCCCCCCCCCCCCCCCCCCCCCCCCCCCCCCCCCCCCCCCCCCCCCCCCCCCCCCCCCCCCCCCCCCCCCCCCCCCCCCCCCCCCCCCCCCCCCCCCCCCCCCCCCCCCCCCCCCCCCCCCCCCCCCCCCCCCCCCCCCCCCCCCCCCCCCCCCCCCCCCCCCCCCCCCCCCCCCCCCCCCCCCCCCCCCCCCCCCCCCCCCCCCCCCCCCCCCCCCCCCCCCCCCCCCCCCCCCCCCCCCCCCCCCCCCCCCCCCCCCCCCCCCCCCCCCCCCCCCCCCCCCCCCCCCCCCCCCCCCCCCCCCCCCCCCCCACCCCCCCCCCCCCCCCCCCCCCCCCCCCCCCCCCCCCCCCCCCCCCCCCCCCCCCCCCCCCCCCCCCCCCCCCCCCCCCCCCCCCCCCCCCCCCCCCCCCCCCCCCCCCCCCCCCCCCCCCCCCCCCCCCCCCCCCCCCCCCCCCCCCCCCCCCCCCCCCCCCCCCCCCCCCCCCCCCCCCCCCCCCCCCCCCCCCCCCCCCCCCCCCCCCCCCCCCCCCCCCCCCCCCCCCCCCCCCCCCCCCCCCCCCCCCCCCCCCCCCCCCCCCCCCCCCCCCCCCCCCCCCCCCCCCCCCCCCCCCCCCCCCCCCCCCCCCCCCCCCCCCCCCCCCCCCCCCCCCCCCCCCCCCCCCCCCCCCCCCCCCCCCCCCCCCCCCCCCCCCCCCCCCCCCCCCCCCCCCCCCCCCCCCCCCCCCCCCCCCCCCCCCCCCCCCCCCCCCCCCACCCCCCCCCCCCCCCCCCCCCCCCCCCCCCCCCCCCCCCCCCCCCCCCCCCCCCCCCCCCCCCCCCCCCCCCCCCCCCCCCCCCCCCCCCCCCCCCCCCCCCCCCCCCCCCCCCCCCCCCCCCCCCCCCCCCCCCCCCCCCCCCCCCCCCCCCCCCCCCCCCCCCCCCCCCCCCCCCCCCCCCCCCCCCCCCCCCCCCCCCCCCCCCCCCCCCCCCCCCCCCCCCCCCCCCCCCCCCCCCCCCCCCCCCCCCCCCCCCCCCCCCCCCCCCCCCCCCCCCCCCCCCCCCCCCCCCCCCCCCCCCCCCCCCCCCCCCCCCCCCCCCCCCCCCCCCCCCCCCCCCCCCCCCCCCCCCCCCCCCCCCCCCCCCCCCCCCCCCCCCCCCCCCCCCCCCCCCCCCCCCCCCCCCCCCCCCCCCCCCCCCCCCCCCCCCCCCCCCCCCCCCCCCCCCCCCCCCCCCCCCCCCCCCCCCCCCCCCCCCCCCCCCCCCCCCCCCCCCCCCCCCCCCCCCCCCCCCCCCCCCCCCCCCCCCCCCCCCCCCCCCCCCCCCCCCCCCCCCCCCCCCCCCCCCCCCCCCCCCCCCCCCCCCCCCCCCCCCCCCCCCCCCCCCCCCCCCCCCCCCCCCCCCCCCCCCCCCCCCCCCCCCCCCCCCCCCCCCCCCCCCCCCCCCCCCCCCCCCCCCCCCCCCCCCCCCCCCCCCCCCCCCCCCCCCCCCCCCCCCCCCCCCCCCCCCCCCCCCCCCCCCCCCCCCCCCCCCCCCCCCCCCCCCCCCCCCCCCCCCCCCCCCCCCCCCCCCCCCCCCCCCCCCCCCCCCCCCCCCCCCCCCCCCCCCCCCCCCCCCCCCCCCCCCCCCCCCCCCCCCCCCCCCCCCCCCCCCCCCCCCCCCCCCCCCCCCCCCCCCCCCCCCCCCCCCCCCCCCCCCCCCCCCCCCCCCCCCCCCCCCCCCCCCCCCCCCCCCCCCCCCCCCCCCCCCCCCCCCCCCCCCCCCCCCCCCCCCCCCCCCCCCCCCCCCCCCCCCCCCCCCCCCCCCCCCCCCCCCCCCCCCCCCCCCCCCCCCCCCCCCCCCCCCCCCCCCCCCCCCCCCCCCCCCCCCCCCCCCCCCCCCCCCCCCCCCCCCCCCCCCCCCCCCCCCCCCCCCCCCCCCCCCCCCCCCCCCCCCCCCCCCCCCCCCCCCCCCCCCCCCCCCCCCCCCCCCCCCCCCCCCCCCCCCCCCCCCCCCCCCCCCCCCCCCCCCCCCCCCCCCCCCCCCCCCCCCCCCCCCCCCCCCCCCCCCCCCCCCCCCCCCCCCCCCCCCCCCCCCCCCCCCCCCCCCCCCCCCCCCCCCCCCCCCCCCCCCCCCCCCCCCCCCCCCCCCCCCCCCCCCCCCCCCCCCCCCCCCCCCCCCCCCCCCCCCCCCCCCCCCCCCCCCCCCCCCCCCCCCCCCCCCCCCCCCCCCCCCCCCCCCCCCCCCCCCCCCCCCCCCCCCCCCCCCCCCCCCCCCCCCCCCCCCCCCCCCCCCCCCCCCCCCCCCCCCCCCCCCCCCCCCCCCCCCCCCCCCCCCCCCCCCCCCCCCCCCCCCCCCCCCCCCCCCCCCCCCCCCCCCCCCCCCCCCCCCCCCCCCCCCCCCCCCCCCCCCCCCCCCCCCCCCCCCCCCCCCCCCCCCCCCCCCCCCCCCCCCCCCCCCCCCCCCCCCCCCCCCCCCCCCCCCCCCCCCCCCCCCCCCCCCCCCCCCCCCCCCCCCCCCCCCCCCCCCCCCCCCCCCCCCCCCCCCCCCCCCCCCCCCCCCCCCCCCCCCCCCCCCCCCCCCCCCCCCCCCCCCCCCCCCCCCCCCCCCCCCCCCCCCCCCCCCCCCCCCCCCCCCCCCCCCCCCCCCCCCCCCCCCCCCCCCCCCCCCCCCCCCCCCCCCCCCCCCCCCCCCCCCCCCCCCCCCCCCCCCCCCCCCCCCCCCCCCCCCCCCCCCCCCCCCCCCCCCCCCCCCCCCCCCCCCCCCCCCCCCCCCCCCCCCCCCCCCCCCCCCCCCCCCCCCCCCCCCCCCCCCCCCCCCCCCCCCCCCCCCCCCCCCCCCCCCCCCCCCCCCCCCCCCCCCCCCCCCCCCCCCCCCCCCACCCCCCCCCCCCCCACCCCCCCCCCCCCCCCCCCCCCCCCCCCCCCCCCCCCCCCCCCCACCCCCCCCCCCCCCCCCCCCCCCCCCCCCCCCCCCCCCCCCCCCCCCCCCCCCCCACCCCCCACCCCCCCCCCCCCCCCCAATAGGATCT